ACACACACACACACACACACACACACACACACACACACCTATTGGAATGGACATGAGCAAGACATCTCGAAGAACAACAGTTACGAGAGTTAAGTAACAGTTTTTTACTTAACAATAGCTGCTGTTCTTCAAAAGTTGCTTGGGTGTAGTCCCAATACCTGTCAACCTTACTCTCTACCTCAGAGTTCTGTAGAACATTAGGACTGGCAGTTAGGGAGAAGGAACTGAGGCTGGGTCTGTGTATACACACTTCTCTTTATATAGAGTAAGGGGATGACACCTTTGCGTGAAATCTCTCAGGTAACTGTACTGGAGGTGGCTTTTCAAGGCCTTTCCTTTGCTTGTCATATCTCACAATTGTGAATACATACAGGCAACACACAAACAAAAGTTATTGGTAAGTAACCTCTCATTATTTCATTTATTATTTATTTATTAGCTCTGGGGCACCATCGTTTTGGGCACTATTATAAACATACACAAATTGACACATTCCTTGCCATGAAGAGTTTAATTAAGACAAGACCTAAAGACTGAGTACAAGAATAGGATGGAAGGAGGATAGAGGAAGATGGTTAGTATAATAAAAATCATAGTACACAACTTGGTGGTTCCAATTTAATAATAATATAATAAAAAAAATCAAAAATTCCCCCTCTGATTATAGACATCCCCCCCGAACTTCCTTAATATCAACTTCATCCTCCATAGAATATGATGATCTTGTCTTGGTATTATTTAATTTTGGTTTTATTGTTTTTCCCCCATTGGGTATAAATTATTCCCAACTCTCCATTTTAACCCACCCATATTGATCCTGCACTGGCAGGCTATCTTCTGTGTTCCTGGGACTTGGTTTTACCTTCATTCTGTTAACTACAGACCAGTGCAAATTTGGTATGGAGCAAAGTATCTTTTAGAGGAGAAAGAAAATCCAGTTTAGGGTTTGACCCTGTTTCCACTGAAGTCAGTAGGGTGATTCCCTTTAACGCTAATGGGAGTGGAGTTGGCCCTTACCCTTTGTTGCTAAAGACTGCAACCCAAAGCGTTGTTTGTTTGTTTGTTTTTTAAATTCGAGATTAAAAATGTATAGGTGCAGGAGAATAATCTGTCAGAAAACAAAGTATGGCAGATCTAGAACAGCATTATTCAGAAGTGGGACTGGTACTATTTTAGGTTGCTGGCTTACACGTAGTGCAAGAGTGACATGTAGTGAACAAAAGATAATCTGTAATGGCTGTTTGATGTGAATGAGTTGATTGCCCTAATTAAGTTTATACAGGTATTGGATAACTATTGCTATTAACTATATTACAGAAGTGCAGAGAACTCCCGATTCTTGTACCTCCAGGTCTGAGTTTTCCTGCTCTCAGCTCCTGAGATGGAGCTGGAGAGTAAGATATATTAAAAAACAAACAAAACAAAAACAAAACAAACAAAAAAACCCTCAAAAACATTGTATCTGTTGGAAGCAAAGGGAGTTCTTTTTTGGGGAGGAGGCAGCGGCGTGAAGTCTGTTGCTAAAAGTGGAAATAGTCTGTGTGGGCATTTAGTGACAGCTCATAAATGTACTTTATTATGGTGTTTCCTTTTTTAAGGCTTGTATTGGGTGGATAACTTGGGCAACATTAACTGGTTTTAAACAAAGATTTTGTTTGTGGGAATTTTAGTTAAAAAGTGTATCGATATACAACCTATTATATCTATCTTTTTTGTATATTTGGAGCAGATCTAAGGAAAAAAGGCCCTGGTAGTTTTTTCTCTCCCACCCTATTTTCTCTCTCTCTCTTTCCTATATGGGTCCCTATTTGTTTCTCTTTTAATTCTCGTCTCCTGAAGACAGTGTATTTTAGAGTACTTATGATTTAGATTAACTGGGATAGTCAGACCAATACTTCAGTCTGATTTTAATGAAATCTTGCTTTTATCCAATTTTACATCTAACGATTGTCAAGTGACTTGCTAAATGTCAAGCAGTAAGTATCACAGCCCACTTTAAGGCCATCCTATTTCCAGCCTTATTGTCCATATTGTCTCCTATCAGCATAGGAGTATTAGGAACTGAGTGCAAGCATTTGATATTTGATTGTCCTAGCTAGTAATTTCAACAGCAATGTAAGACTTATTAAAACAGATTCATTAAATGAAAGAATGTTAAAAGAAATTATGAAAATGACTGAGCATTTCTTCTTTTCACAGTATGTGTTTTGTATACACAAGGTATTGGAAGCAAAGAATGGAGAGAGGTAAGGTTGTGTGTGGTGTGTTGTTTTTTTTTAATATCTGTGTATATTTTTGTGTTTAATTTTTTAATTGTGTGGTTGTTTGTGTGTCATAGCAAAAAGAAAAAAAAATCATCATTAGTTGGTTGATTGCTATGCGAAAGAAGTAAAACCCTCAAATGTACAGGGAAAAATGCCAAAAAATTAGGGTCACTTTATTTTGAAATCTTGTATTTATATATCCTGTATTACACTTAAAAATGGTTAAATCTATTTAAGAAGAAAGGTGTGTCCCCCATGCTTCCCTCCACCATAAGTAAAACCAACTTTATTTTTAAAAAATATGGAGCAGGCTAGCCAGGTTTGAAAGGCCATTTGGGAAGGGGAGTAGGCTGACCAGATAGCAAGTGTGAAAAATTGGGACGGGGGTGAGGGGTAATAGGAGCCTATATAAGAAAAAGCGCCAAATATCAGGACTGTTCCTATAATTTGGGACATCTGGTCACCCTAAAGGGGAGGAGGAGGAAGTTGGAGGGAGGAGGAGAATAGATCACTAACAATTTTAGTAAAACCATTAATAATGGAGACATTTCAGATTTGGCCTACTGGTACTTTACAGTAGTCATGTGTTAGAGTTCTTAAGTGTGGTGCCTGGGTGCCTCCAGATTCTAAATGCGAAGAAGAACATTTCATTGTTGTATCAGAAGTTGGAATCATCTCAGGTGGTAATGACTGAAATACGTTACTACTTTACAACTGTTCATTGCCCTGCTCTAAATAAGTTAGTGGTCTCAGTTCATTTTCTAGGGGAGAGATGTCAACATCACTTACGTGTAGTACAGTACACTTGTTGGCACTCTTAGCAAAGAGGCTAGGCATTCAGTGGATGTAGAAATTGGATTACTGTCTTAACCTCCTAGTCAAAGCAGAGGTACGTTGATATAACAGTGAGGGAAAACAACAGTATTGCTTGTGTTGTATCTGCTCTCCAATTGCAACTTCCTTTTGCAGAACTGATAATTCTGTACCTTTCATCACTAAATTCATTAACAGCAATAAGGGGAAATATCTTATCCTATAGATTTAGAAATGTGTTTTTAAATGATTCATTCTGAATCTCAAAATTATAATATTTAAAGCTATAGGCTATTACAGAAAATGAATCTTGGATCCATGCTCTAGTGACCAGATAGGAATTCTCTAAGCTGTTTTAAGCCTATAACTGAAGAACCACTAATGCTGCAACCATTAGTTCCTTTCAGACATCATTGGAAGATGTCAAGTATCAGGGAGTAGCCGTGTTAGTCTGTACCCACAACAACAACAAGGAGTTCGGTGGCACCTTAGTCTTTTTAAGGTGCCACCGGACTCCTTATTATCTATCATTGGAAGAGAATCTCTGTTGTGAAAAGTTGGTGTACCAATTTGTCAAAGCCTCTTTTTTAAAAGAATTGCTTGTTTCATTCTTCTCTGCTAGTTTGTTAAATAAAATATAAATGTTTGGATCAGTTCCCATTAATAGTAGTAACCATTTGTGTTGTCAAAGGCTGTGAACCAAGAGGCTCCCCCTGTTTCAGTTGGCTTAGTTTCCTTATGCTAGGTATGGGCCTGTCACCATGAAGGGTCAGTGGGAGGCTGAGCCACTGGCTTTTCAGAACCATGCTGTACTCTGCTTTGAAGCCTCTGAGACCCTTTGGGCCTTTGCTGCCTCGTTACTGGTTTACAGTTCTGACTAATACAATAATAACTATTTCTCCCTCCATCCCCCTGTCCTATGTCTGTAACTTCAACTATTCTTAGACACCAAGTTTCACTACCTCTATGTATCCCTTTCTCTTATTCCAGTACCTTCCTCACCTTGCCTCCAGCCACCCATCCAGAGAAACTTACCCTTTTCTTCAAGTGATGTCCCTGTGGATGCTCCCACTCTCACACCTACCTTGTTAGTTTCAGATTTTTTTTACATTGTTTTTCAAGATTTGGTATTTAAAGAAAAGCAAACACATGAAGCAAAATAAAAGCATGAGTTCTGTAACCTTTATTTTATATCCTTAACATTGTGAATTGGAAACTGAATCAAAAGCTTCTCATCCAAACCAAATACAATTTGCTGTAAACCTAATATTTTTACAGCTAAAAGGAGGATCAGGCTCCTCTTATGGGGAGGAGTCAAAGCCCCATTGTACAGAAAGGTGAAAGCAATGAGTCTTTTCATTTTTAATGGATGCATCAAAAGACCATGGGGGCAAGAGATAAGTGGATAATGATGGAGCCATATATTTCTAATGTCAGGGCCTCCATGTCTGAAAGTGGATGAAGTTACCAGTGAAATGGGCATTTTGTCTAACTTTTTGCTTGGTATTCTACATTCAGGAGAGATGGCAGATTCTAAAAGAGACTGTATTACACAAGAGCAAACTATCCTGATGCTAAGGAAAGATTAAAAATAACAAGAGACCCATATGGCTGTATCAGGAGCTCTTTAATAACATGACCATTAAAAGGAATCCTAGACAAAGAACAGATTGATAAGGATGAATATAAAAGAATAGCACAAGCATTTAGGGATGAAATCAAAAGGCTTTGGCACAGAATGAGTTACACCTAGCAAGGGATGTAAAAGGCAATAACAAGATGTTTTGTAAGTGCAATAGAAGTAAAAGAGAGGTAAAGTAAAGTTAGGTCTATTACTTAACAGGGAAGGAAGCAAATAATGAATGACACAGCAAAGGCTGAAGTGCGTTAATGCCTTTTTTGCTTCAGGCTTCATTAAAAAGGTTAATTGTGACCAGATGCTTAACACAATATTAACCACAAGAGGGAGGGGGTCTCTGGGCAGAATAGTGAAATAATAGGTTAAAGATGTTTAGATAAATCTGATATCTTCATGATGGTGGGACCTGGTGAACTTCACTGCAGAATACTTAAGGAACTAGCCAAACGATCTCTGAACCATTAGCTATTATTTTTGTGAAGTCTTGGAGGATCGGTGAGGTCCCAGAAAATTGGAGAAGTGCAAACATATTACCTATGTTCAAAAAGGGGAAAAATGAGCACCCAGGGAATTACAGACCATTCAGTCTAACTTCGATACCTGGAAAGATACTGGAATAAATATTAAATCATTTTATTCAAACCTAGAAGATAAGGTGATAAGAAAGAGCCAATGTGGATTTGTCAAGAAGAAATCATGCCATAAGTGTATGGTTATAAAATTTGTGGATGGCTGTGTCAAGACTGAATCCCCACTCTGTCACTCCGAGTGCAGAAGTGGGGGCCGCAAGGATTAAAAAAATTAATACTTGCCACTCCAGGCTTGTATTACACTCCCAAGGTTACAGCTTTTCTCTGACCTTGGTTTGGTAAACGCTTCCACCACCCAAATGCAAAAAAACCCCCTTTGAACCCAGGAAGGAGCACTTGGGAATTCCTCCCTGTGGGGTACCCACAAGCCCTTTCACCCTCTTCTCTCCCCCCCCCCCCACCCGGGGGGGAAGAGCTGAGAAAGAAAACAAAGGAAATTAGCCTTGGCTATTAGCTAATCAAACAACATGCACAAACCTCTTAGAACACCAAAAATCCAATCCTGTTCTTAAAAAAGGTAAATTTTATTAAAACAAAAAAGGAAAAAATACATCTGGCGCTTTTTGCTATATCTTAAAATAAACAATTACAAAAATCATGCACCCAAAATAGCTTTCTTGGGGGTTCAGCTTAAAGAAAAGCTTACCAGCAAACAAAAGCATTAGGGATTAGCACAGAGGAGAGCCACAAGCCTTAAAAATATAAACAGAAATAAAGCTGATCGTGTCTAGCTAAACATTCTGATCTGCCTACACATTTGGAGTTCATATAAGTAGTTCTAGGTATGAGCTGATGAATTATAATCATACCTGGCTTAAGCTGCTTATAGCATGGCTGCTCTGTCCCTCCAGCCCAGAGAATAACAGGCAAAGGGAAAGTTTCTTTCCTCATTTTAAAAAGTTCTAGCCTTCCCCTTGGCTCTTTTGGTCAGGTGTCCACTTCCCCCCCTTTACCTGGGGGACTTTTTAACCCTTTACAGGTAAAGCGAGTAAAGAACATCTACCAAGAGGTATTTTACAGCTAACTGATTGGCTGGGTGTCCATCAAAGGGAGCTATCCCCCCACTTTATTTATCACAGGCTCCAAGCAGGGAGGGGTTACAAGCACTGTAGAGGACAGGATTAGAATTTAAAATGACTTCGATATTTAGAGAATTTGGTCTGAAATCAGTAGGATGAAATTCAGTAAAGATAAATGCAAAGTACTATACTTAGGAAGCAAAGGAAGAAAAAAATAAAATGGCAAATGAAATGAAATTAATGGAGATATCCCATCTCCTAGAACTGGAAGGGACCTTGAAAGGTCATTGAGTCCAGCCCCCTGCCTTCACTAGCAGGACCAAGTACTGATTTTGCCCCAGATCCCCAAGTGGCCCCCTCAAGGATTGAGCTCACAACCCTGGGTTTAGTAGGCCAATGCTCGAACCACTGAGCTATCCCTCCCCCCCAGAATAACTGGCTAGGCAGTAATACTGCAGAAAAATAATCTGTGGATTATAGTGGGTTGTAAAGTTGCATGAACCAACTGTGATATTGTTGCAAAAAAAGTCATGTGTCATTCTGAGATATACCTACAGGAGTGTTGTACGTAAGACAAAGGATGTAATTGTTTTGCTCTACTCTGCAGTGGTGAAGCCTCAGCTGGAGTACTGTGTCCTGTTTTTGGCACCACACTTTAAAAAAGATATGGGCAAATTGGAGAGAGTCCAGAGAGGAGCAAGAAAATAAAAGGTTTAAAAAACATGACCTTAGAGCAGCGGTTATCAAACTGTGGCTTGAGACCCCAAAGTGAGTTGCAGCCCCATTTCAATGGGGTCACCAGGGCTGGCTTAGAGTTGCTGGGGACCGGAGCTGAAGCCCGAGCCCCACCACCCATGCTGAAGCCCAAGGGCTTCAGCTCTGGGCAGCAGGGCTTGGTTACAGGCCCCCTGCCTGGGGCTGAAGCCCTTGGGCTTAGGCTTTGGCTTTGCAGCCCCTCTCTCCCTGCTCCCCCGGGGCGGTGGGTCTCAGGCTTTGGCTTTGGCCCCCCTGCCTGCAGCGGTAGGACTCCGGCTTCAGTCCACCCTTCTGGGGTCATGTGGTAATTTTTGTTGTCAGACGGTGGTTGGGGTGCAATGAAGTTTTGAGAACCCCTGCCTTAGAAGAACGGTTGAAAGAACTGGGCATGTTTATTCTAAAGACGAGAAGTCTGGTTGGGGGGTCATGATAAATCTTCAAATATATAGAGATTGTTATAAAGAGGACTGTGATTAGTTTCTTCTTTGAATAATGTCCCTATAGGTGCTCCACTCTGGGTGCACTTGCACCCCAGGCTTCTTTGAGCAGAGATTTTGCATATCAGTGTCCATTTGGCCCACATACATGTGTTACTCAGTCTCGTGTTCTATGCTGTTATATCGCACTGTACAAGCAAACGACCCTCAGTTCCTTCTCAACCACTCACCTGAGACAGAACCTTAGCAGATGTCTGCATTGAGTTTTATCTCCAACTGTGTCCCCTTAGTTCTTTTAGTAGTTAATTATAGTTGTTCTTAGTAGTAGTTTTAGCTGTAGTAGTTTCTAAAAAGTGTTTGTAGTTTTTTTTTTGTTTGTTCGTTTTTTTGTTTTTTTAGTTTCTCCCCACCTGGGAGTTTTTTACTGGAAAGGCATGCCTGATTTTCCTGGTTTCAAACATTGCCTGTCATGCCAGGAGGCAATCCCTGGTGAGTGACTGGCAATCCCGGTGCATTTGTTGCTTCGGGAATCTCATAGTTCCCCAAAATGCAACTTCTGTCTGGCATTAAAATCTAGAGCCAGAAAAAACAGGAAGCTCAAACTTCAACTTCTCATGATGGAGAGCTCGCTGTGCCTGGCCTCTGACCCTAGCCAGGGGACCAGCCCCTGTTGGCTGGTCTCTGAATAAGTCTGTTGTCTCCACTGTCTCCAAACCGCACTCCTCAAGGGTATCTAACAGGAATACCCAAGCTTCCTCTCATAATACTCCCAAAGACCGTCCCTCAAGTTCTCCAGATAGGGAATCTACCTCAAAAGGAAGTCAGTGTCTCCGATGACACCAGCCCCTTCAGCACCCACTGCTCTCCAATCTGGTACTTACGAGACTGCTGGTTCCTCAGGTACTGAGGGCATGATCAAGCCTAAAGACTATGAAGTCCCAGGCTCTGAGAGGACATTTGGTACTGTCAACGGATCAAGGCAGCAAGAAGAGCATTACCTCTTTTCACTCAGTACCGAAGATGCCCAATTGGGCTTCATCTGGCGGTCTCCCCTTGGAGTGGTTGAGATTCCTAGTATCGTCAACTCCCTCTGCCATTATCACTTTGGTGCAGGCTATGGATATGGTGCCAACACTGCTCTTGGTACTGCAGGAGTTTCATTTTCCCCTAGACCTGGCTGTGTCCAAGACACCTGACTCCTCATTGCTCAGTTCTAATCTGTTCTCTGTGCCTAGGATCTCCAGATTCCCAGACACCTGGCAGGTACTGATGGTTGTACCTCAAGTTTCTTCTGCTGCTCCACCACTTCACAGTGACTTGGAAAAGGAGGTTTCTCATGAAGATCTTATCTTCGTTTCTCAAATATCTGTCTGAGGCTCTCCACTCCATTCCTATAGAGGCTCTTTTCCATAGGTCTCTGAGGAAGTTGATCTCCGTCATGAGAGAGGTCTACAACCACCATCTTGCTGGTACAAACACTAATGGATTCCTCCACCCATGCCATATTCGCCACCCCCTTGGCCATGCTGGGAGTCAGGACCCCTAGGTGGCCTGTCATTGGCAATTCTCTAGGGCCTCGAACATCATCTGTCAGAGGTAGACAACTTTCATCACCCTCTCTCCAGGAGACCAGAACCTCAGGAAGAAACCTTTGAGGAACAGGAAACTAGGGCTGATGAGATCTCTCCACTAGCCAGCATCTCATCTCTTCTCCATGCCCGGATGAAGTGGTCATGCCACTCCACCATCCCTGGCTGACTGTTTTAAACAGTTCTAGGACCTTATCAAGATGGTCGTAGATTCTTTGTAGATCCTTCTTCAGTAGGTTAAAGAATCACATCAGAAGCTGCTTGACATTCTTAATATAGCTTCATCTGCTCACCTTGCCTTTCCTGTTAACCTTTGCCAGGGCCTCATTATCTGGCACACCTGGCCTCAATTCTACCCATGTTTGAGAGAACAGACAAAAAATATTATGTCCCCTCTAAGGACTCAGAATTTTTATTTTCTCATCCCTATCCTTAGTCCTTGCTGGTACAGGTGGTTAACGAACATGGAAGGCAGCACCACGCTAACGCAGTTCCCCATGATAAAGATCATAAGCACCTTGACCTGTTGGGTACAAAATCATATTTGTCAGCAACTTTATAATTTAGAATCACCAACTACCAGGCATTAATGGCCAAGTACAAATTATACCAAGCTGAACTCCTTTATTGAACATCTATCATTGGAACACAGAGAGCAATTCCAGGCAATTATTGCAAAGGCCAGCTGATCTCTTCAGACCTCCCTGGCTGCTGCTGCTGCCATTCGTTTGCTTTCTATGGTGGTAGTTATGAAGAGGGCCTCCTGGATTCAGATCTCTGGATTTCCAAAGAATATCCAGAATACAGTTGAAGACTTTCCTTTTGATGGCACTAAGCTGTTTGCACGGACCATTTTCTGATGCATATTTCCATATAGCAGTCCACACATCCCACAAAAGATTCCTATGTTTTACTGTTGTTCAGACCCATTTTCAGTTCAGGGTGCTCCCTTTTGGCTTATGGTCTGCCCCAAAGGCCTTTTCAAAGATCATCAGTAGTAGCAGCACACCTCCGCTAAACGATTGGCTTCTGAAAGGCTGCTTCCTGGACCTAACTTTGCATGCAGCTTGTGAGGCCATAGATCTTTCTCAAATTGGGCCTACAACTGAATACTTCAAAAATGCACCTTGACCCTTGGGCCCCTATACATACCTTTTGGTGAGCATTATGCAATAACTCATGATTCGGCTGTATTTTCTTCAGTACTGGACTTGACCTTGAAGCCCCCTCCTCCTTAAAGGGAACTTTGCTTGGTAGTCCCCTAGAGTGGAGCACCCATAGGGACACTACTAGAAGAAGAAATGGTTACTTACACCATGCAGTAACTATCGTTCTTCGTAATGTGTCCCCCTGTGGGTGCTCTGCCACTTGCTCTCGTTCTCTGCTATGGAGCTTCGTGGTAGAGAAGGAACTGAATGCGGTTCACCCACTCAGTGCTATATAACAATACGGACCATGAAACTGAGTAATATGCACATACGGGCAGCATAGATGCTGCTATGAAAAATCTACGACCAAAGGTGCAGGGTGCATCCATAGGGACACATCTCGAAGACTCAGTTACTGCACAAGGGGAGTATACACTTTCTCCTATGTCCATTGAGGATAGGACAAGAAGCCATCTGTTTAGTTGCAGCAAGGGTGATTTAAGTTAGATATTAGGAGAAACTTTATTACTATAAGGATAATAAAACACTGGAAAAGATTACTTAAGGAGGTTGTGCAATCCCTGTCATTGGATATTTTTAAGAACAGGTTAAACAAACACATGTCAGTCCCCAGGAGAGTGGGGCGGGGTGGGGAAAGATGAACTATATGACCTCTTGAGGTCCCTTCCAGTCCTATCCTGCTATGATTCTTTGATTTCTAGGGACTATAGTGTTTCAAATTGGGAAGAGTTAATATAACTAATGTTTATGGTGGGGAGTAGTTTTTCTAAGTTTGGGGGGAAACTGTTTGTTGTAGCTTCAATGTCTTGACTGAAGGAAGAGCTGTCTGGAAGTTCCAGTCTATAGAATGGGGCACATGCTGCTGTTTATGCTGGAATGGGTGGACTTCTGGCAGTCTTTTCTTACTTTCCTGGTGTTTTCATGTGGACATAATCCTCTCCTTGCAAAATCTCTGTTCCAGGAGAGACCTTTACTGCATCCTACCTCATGTCTCTTGCATGTTTTTGTTCCTGGAGCTATATGCTGTGATATAGATATGTAACTTCTTATAACAGGATCTTATGCTTGCCATAAGCTATTACTTTTCTTTTACAGTTTGGAAGAACAGAAGTAATTGACAATACTTTAAATCCAGATTTTGTAAGAAAATTCATCATGGACTACTTTTTTGAAGAAAGAGAGAACCTGCGGTTTGATTTGTAAGTTAATCAACAGACCTTTGATTCGAATGTCATTAGCACTGTGAAAATGCACTGATGTTTTGTCAAGGCAACCAGTGGTTTACTTTGGAAGAAGTGACATCTTAATATGAAGTAGATTAATTTGGATGAATGTGGTGATTTATATTTATCCAAATCAAATAATTATGTAAAATGGTAAGCCATTACGAGCAAGTGTGAGGAATGAGTGGATGTCTAGTGGTTAAAAGTATTGCTTTGTTTTTATAAAATCTTTTATAAGATCAGAGTTTTGAAAAACTTAAAAGTTCATTAAATTGTTATGAAATGGTAAATGTACTTGTGGCATATTAGCAAACAAGGTGTGAAGCAAACACTCCAAGTGTAAATTATCACACATTAATTGCAGATTTAGTTTTTTTTAATCAAAATAAGACATGACTCCACCCACAGATACAAGTGTACATCTGATAATACTGGCTTGGCATTTTAAGTTGGAGATAATTGTTTAAGAAGCGAGTGAAATTTGACATTATTCCAAACAATAGCCTAATTCTGTCCTTCCTATTTTTTTTCTGTTGTTTTTATCCTCTACAGTTTCTTGTTAGTCTGTTTTTGAAGTTTTCTTTTGTTGTTGTTGTTGAAGAGTTGCAACTTTTAGGTCTGTAATTGAGTGTCCAGAGAGCTTGAAGTGCTCTCCGACTGGTTTTTGAATATTATAATTCTTGACGTCTGATTTGTGTCCATTTATTCTTTTGCATAAAGACTGTCCGGTTTGGCGGCAGAGGGGCATTGCTGGCACATGATGGCATATATCACATTGGTAGATGTGCAGGTGAACGAGCCCCTGATGGTGTGGCTGATGTGATTAGATCCTATGATGGAGTCCCTTGAATAGCTATGTGGACAGAGTTGGCAATGGGCTTTGTTGCAAGGATAGGTTGAGGAATGTGGACTATCCCTGAATGAATGAAGCAAAAGTGAAAGGCATGCACGTTGACATGATTAACAAAAACAGGATGCAAGTGGACATTACAATCAATAGTCCAGTTGTAGAGGCAACAAGTGAATTCAGTTATCTGGAATTATACGTATCCAACCGTGGATGCTGTTCTAAAGAAATCAGAAGAAGAGTAGGAATGGCCCTCCCAGTCATGGCCTCCTTTACAAAAGTTTGGAAAAACAATGGCATCTTGAAATGTATAATGGTTCAGCTGGTGAAAAACTTTTCTTCCATAACAATTTATGGATGTGACTTGTGGGAAATTAATACTACTCGTAAGAAGTTTGAAGCCTTTAAGAGGTGATGCTGGTGAAGACTCTTCCATTCCAGAGATAAGCAAGAGAAGATTAATGTTTATGTTAAAATATTATGGGAAAGAAGCAGACCCTCTTGTCAGAAATCAACAGATGCAAACTTATGACTCACTCTCAGTACTTCATCAATCTTTCAGTGATGTTTAAATCTGAGTTAGCCATACAGTTGGTTAATAAAATAATTGATCATATGCTACTTTATAATGGCCATACATTAAACCTATAGTGTAGCATAACTGTTCATTGTCAATACTGGTTAGTATTAAATATTTCTTTTTTTATTAATAGCTGTCTTGCATTATTGCCTAGAAGCCCTAATCAGGATTTGGGAGCCCAAATGTGCTAGATGCTGAACAAACACATGGTCTCTGCTCCAAAGAACTCAGTCTAAGTAGCTTAGACACTAAAACAATGGTCTTTTTTTACTGTGACTCTAAATCAAATTCCTATTTAATCATTCAATTTTAAGGCATCATGTTTGCAGTGCCTTGGTTTTAGAAGACATTTTATCATCTTGGTTATTCCTTGGTAATGAACAAAGGTGTCATTATAATAAACAGCTAATGGCCAAGTACAGGGGATGGATCACTTGATGATTACCTGTTCTGTTCATTCCTTCTGGGGCACATGGCATTGTCTGCTGTCGAAAGACAGGATACTGGACTAGATGGACCTTTGGTCTGACTCAGTATGGCCCTTCTTATGTTCTTGACTGTGGATGTTCTACATTTAAATTTTGTTCCCGCTGGCGTAACTGCCCTGCTACTCTGACTTAATACCACCTCCTCAAGCAGCATAGAATGGTAAGTTTAGTTAGGTTGACACAATGTAGTACACCATTGTAGACACTGTGTTACTTATGTTGACTGTTACTAGCTTCCAGGAGCTGTCCCATAATGCCTACAGTGACCGCTCAGGTCATTGTTGTGAGCTCCACTGCCCAGGGAACATGTAGACAGGAAGCGAAGACTCCTTGGAAAGCCCCACAAATTTTTGAAATTCCTTTTCCTGGTCTCTCAGCTTTGTGAGCAAACTTAGCAGCTCTCGATTGCTATGTGCAACCGCCCAGCTTACCATGTTGGCAACACATTGCAGATGTGCTCTAGTCTGGAGTACACTGGAGGTGTTGGATGTCCTGGGTCTGTGGGTGAAGAGGCTTTGCAGGGACAGCTCTGATCCAGCTGTAGAAACATTGACATCTATGAGCAGATTGCTTCGGGTATGCAGAAGAAGGGCTACAACAGTGACCAGCAGCAGTGCTGTGTGAAAGCTAAGGAGCTGCGGCAGGTGTACCAGAAGGCCAGAGAGGCCAACAATCCCTCCGATGCGAAGCTGCAGATCTGCTGCTTCTACAAAGAGTAGCGGCAGAGATTACTCCCTAAGAGCCCAATGGATACTTTGGAGGAGTCTGAGTCTCAGGCCCCTGCCGTGACTAGAGAGGAGGAGGAGGTGGAAGAGGAGTGGTATGAGGGCAAGCCATCAGGGGATCCAGCTGCACAGCAAGTCAGAACATGTTTTTGACTCCACCGCAGTCCAGCAAGTCCCGAGGGTCCAGCATGGGTGAACCTGATGCAAGGACGGAACCTCTGGTAAGTATGCAGTTTGCTTTGAAATTACAGGGATGGAACCCTCAAAGTAGAAGAACAAAGCTACTCGAACAAGCTCCTTGATTTACTCTTTTTTGCTTGTGCTAGAAGAGCTAGTGAAACACCCAAGAGAGGTAGAGTTGTTATCTGCTTTTTATTCACCTCTAGGCAAGGGGGACCACACGGAGCAGTTATGTGTACCAGGATGTCTTGTGAATCCTCCATAGAGATCTCAGTGAAACTTTCATGAAGTTATTCTGCAATCCTTTGCCAAAGGCATCTGGGGAGGGCTGCCTTATATCTTCTGCCATGGTAGGACACTTTCCTATGCCACTCAGTGATTACTTCAGCAGGCACCATTGCAGTACACAAGCCAGCAGCATACAGGCCCGGGTGGCACTGGGACATCGTGCTCTTTCTGCCTGTTACCCTCAGGAGTGAGGTCAGCTGAAATCACCACCACCTGTGGAAAACAATGCCGATATTCCGTTCCATTGCCCTGTACACACATACATACTCAAGCCTGTGAGTTTCCCCCCTTGTGTTTCCAACCCCCCTCGTACCCATGAGGGCCATACTCATCATGGCTGGTGCTCTGACTGGTGCCGTGCTGTATCAATCCCAAGGAGAAGTCAGAATGTAGTGCTTACAACTTTCTGGGATCAAGGGGAGTGAGTTCAGTATCCTAAGTTTCAATTTCTGGTTTGGTACCTCTGTGTGCTGTATCTGCAGCTGATGGTATTTTGGCCTTGAGGGGCTCTCGTGGAACATCTGTGTCAAATAAGGAAGAGAGAGAAAAGGACTCAGGATGATATGTTCCAGGAGATGCAACTCAGACTTGCAGCATCAGAGAACGAGACCAGGGCCTGGAGGATGATCCTTGCAGACAGCATGGAGAAAGCCCTGGCAGTTCAAGCAGGAAAAGGAGAGGGAGATGCACCAAGACATAATAGGGGTTCTCAGACAACAAACTGAGATGCAGCAGACTCTGGTAGACCTGTAGGCCCAAGAATCCCATGCTCGCCTTCCTCTGCAAGCCAGACACAACTCAATGTCTGGATCGTCCTATACCCGCTCCCCCCCAACATTCCACGTGGCATCAGGGGCTGCTGCTCTACTCCTACCACTTCATCCTGGGAGACATTAAAGACCATCTCAGCTGAACATACACTGATCTATGAAAGACATGGTTGGTGTATGTGTACTGAAGTGGAAATGACTGCTCTTTTGCCTTCATAAATTGTGTTCCCTTCACTTTTTAAGTTTTATAACATTCTAAATGTTTATTTGCCTGGTTCATGTTACAGAAGAATAAAACTTTATTTTTTGGAACATAATTTCTCTTTTAATTTACAATATATGCTAACTGGTGCTGAGTAGGTCTCACCTACCAATTTCTTGTTACTTCATTTTATCACAGGATCCATAACATAATTCTCAGACAATATTAGTAGGTGCATTGGCAATGTTATATTCCTGCACACACAGCCCTCACTGAAAGACTCATATTGGTCTGTAAAAGAGCAAGGTAACTACAATATAATGGATGGAGAATGGGAGCAGGGAACACTGGAGGAAATCCCCAAATGCTCTTTGTCTAATAGTAATGCAGCTAGGTTTGACCCTTTATTTATAGTTATTAGTAAACAAATACATGCAGTTATATGGTCAGTATTACATCATAGGCAACTGAAGAGCAAGTGAGGTCTGGGGAATCAAATTCACAATATATATTCGCTACTGACCATTTCTGGAAAGGTCAGTAGTAAACAGTTCATGGAGCACATTTTGATAGGAAAATTTTCAGTCTGAAAATGTAGACGAGTTCTAATCATTAAAGCACCATTTATACTGGCATTGCCAGGATGATGTAAAGGAGTCTTATTGTAAATATAAAGGAGCATTAAAACTTCTACACTTGTTTTATGCTTCTGGGGGAATTCACTAAGAGTGGGAACAATTCACTAACAGTGGGAACAACTAAACAGGCAGGCTGCTACATTGTGCTCTGCCTGAGGGAACAGAGCCTGCATCACACCTGCCTCCAAATACCCCGAAGCCCTGCCCCTCCATGCCAAGCACGCCGCAATAGTGAGCCAGTGGGATAGTTTCTTTCTC